GCGGATGCGAGTGGTTCCTTGCGTGCTTTTGCGGGGGGCTCGCTCTAGGGCGTATCGGGCGTCTCTCGGGGCCTGTCGCGCTCTTCCTCGGGTTCTCCTACCAGTTCTCCCGAGGGCCCCGTGGAGCTATTGGGCCCACGTGCGTCGATGAGGAAACTCGTGGAGACGTCTCGGCGACGGATTGGGGATCTGGGTTTCACCAGACGCCCAGGGTCGTTTCTAGGCGCGTTCAGGCCGACGTGGACCCCCCGCAATCCCCGGCCGCCCAGAGAGCGCCATTGGCGCCTGAAGGGTTTCCTGCAGGCGGCGGGTCATGGTGTCCACTTGTCGTGCGACGCCGTGCTGGGCGCTCCTTCGAATCGCAAGCTCGGTCGATTCGCACAGCTGGCGTCGCGTCGCGCAGATGTCGGCCTCATCGCGATCAACGATCATGTGGGCATGAGGGCCAGTAAATTAAAATTTGCAGGCCGACCAGCGAACGATAATCATTTTTGGCCCCTATTGGGGGCTAGTCCTCCTCGGCGGCGCGCAGAAGGGAAGTGGGAGGGGGCAACAGTAAGGCGGCGGTGCTTCTCAGAAGCCGTCCGGTCTTCCGAGAAGCCCTCTGTGGCTTCGGAGAAGGGTTAGGCTTTTCAGAAGGCTTAAGCTTCTCAGAAGGCCTGAGGTCTTTTGAGTCTTTGGGGATAGCCCGCCCTCTCTTCCTTCCCCCCTGGGCGCGCCACCGCCGTTCCTCCTGCAGAAGGGGGGAGCTGCTAGACGAGGCCCTGGTCCAAGGTGTGCCCAGCTGTTCACGCCATGGTGGGGCCTCTGGGCCCTTGCGAGCCCGTCGAGCCTCGTGAGCGTTGCGGAAGTCATCCGCGCCTTCTGGGAACGCTGGGGCCACCTTGGGCCAGGACCACCTTCGGAAGCTCCAGCAGAAGGGGGGGTGGGAGTATATCGGTGCGGCGGGCTCGTGCCGCCTCGACGTGGTGGTGACGCCGGCGAGAATGTTCCAGGCTACGCGCCTTGAGCGCCTTCCAGGGCTTCTGGATCCCCCAGAGACCCCACGGCGCGAAATCCATTCGACAGAGGCGGGCGGCAGTCGACACGAGGGCGGAGATCGCTGCAGGAATCTTCTGTATGGAGTGGGTGAGAGTCTTTTCCAATGTCGCTGAATGATATCCAGAGGTACACTAAGAGGGGTTGATCGTATGATAGTATGAGTGTGCGCCTGTGGATTTCGTCTTCTCGTCGGGACGACGGCCCGTTCATTCTGGCACAGGCGCGACGCGGTTTTTGTTGCCGATGCTGTGCAGCATTCCCCAATTAGTGCTTGCATTTACGTGGGGGCTCAGATCATGTGTGATTGCAGTCAGCGATCAAGGGTACCATTGTGTCCTTGCTTCTGCGGCCCGCCCTTGCCGTTTTCACTGGTCGCCCGCCGCCCAAGTATCGTACGTCCTTACCACCCGCCGTTGATACACGCTTTGATTGTAATTCGTTGGACGGGTGTGCTGGGGCTTCGCTTTGCGCCTGGCCGTGGGCTTCTCGTGGGCGACTTGTGCGCTGGCTGGGATCTTCAGATCTTCGGCGGGCGTGAGCCCGGCTCCAGGCGCCTCGCTGGCGCTCCGTGTGTCGGCTGGGATGGTTGGGCTTTCGCTTGGATGCGTGCACCGCGTAGCCTGTATTATGTTGCACCGCGTAGCTTGCACCACATGGCCTGCATCACATGCTGGCATGCTTACGCCGCATGGCTTGCACTACATCGGTAACGCCACATAGCTTGCACCGCGTAGCTTGCATCACGTAGCTTACGCCACACAGTTCCACATATTTTACACCATATAGCCTACACCACATAGCTTGCACCACGTGGCCTGCATCACTCAGCTTGCAACGCATAGCCTGCACCACGTAGCTTGCACCACACATCTTGCACCACACAACTTGCATCTCATAGCTCAACATGCATAGCTTGCAACACAAATGTACACACACAAATCGCACAGCCTGCGCCACATAACCTGTACCCAATAGCTTGCAAAGCCTGCACCACGTTTATTCTCCTTTCTACAAGCAGAATAGGATCTATCCCCCCCGGCGTTGTCGCTTCACCTTTCGGGTATGTAAACCATATATGATTATGACCACATGTCCATCCTAAATATGAATTTGCACTATCCCTGGGGGGCCAGTATCCCCCCCCCTGAGGTTCCCTTGTACAAAAACACTATGCGGTGACATTTTTTGTTCTAACATAGCACTTTTCACGAATCCCTTGCAACAAATGAGACGAAGTGCACACGCGCGCGTCGTCGCGCGCGCATGCCGAAATCCTTCAAAAACCTTCGGTGCCGGAAGGATTTCGCAATCGAGTTTCAAACAAACATTCAAAAACACAGGGTTTCGCAACACTGACTTGCTAAAAAAGCTTCCGCGCGAGCTCTTGCGAAATCTTTAGAAAACCATAGGTTTTTCAAGATTTTCACAACATGCTATTAAACGGGCTTCGCGCGCGCATGTCGAAATCTGTCGAACACCCTTGCGCGTGTGCCGTCGCGAGAATCCTCTGCAAAAAACCGGACGAAGTGCAGACGCGCGCGTCGTCGCGCGCGTATGCCGAAATCCTTCAAAACCCATCGGTTTCGGAAGGATTTCAAAATCGTGTATCAAAAAAAACGACAAAAACCAAAGGTTTCGCAACATGGATTTTCAACAAAAGCGTGCGCGCGCGCTCTTGCGTCGTCGTCGTCGTCGTCGCCGTCCTCCCTCCTCCCGCGTCGTCGTCGTCGTCGCCTACGTCGTCCTCTGTCTTTCCTCGTGTTCGTCGTCGTCGTCCTCGTTGGCGTCGTGGTCGTTTCCGTCGTCGTTGTCGTCGTGGTCGTCCTCCTTCTCCTCGTCGTCGTCGTCGTCCGTCGTCGGCGTCTCGTCGTCGTCCCTCCTATTTCGTCGCCGTCGTCGTCGTCGTCGTTGTTGTCGTCGTCGTCGTCTTCCTCCTCCCTCGTCGTTGTCGTCGTCGGCGTCGCCGTCCTTCCTCCTTTTTCGTCGTTCGCGTCGTCGCCGTCCTCCCTCCTCCCTCGTCGTTGTCGTCGTTGTCGTCGTTGTCGCCGTCGTCGTCCTCCCTCCTCCCTCGTCGTCGTCTTCGTTGGCGACGTCGTTGTCGTCGTCGTCGTCGTTATCTTCGTCGTCGTCGTCGTCGGCGTCGTCATCGTCGGCGTCGTCGTCGTCGTCGTTTTTGTCATCGTCGTCGTCGTCGGCGTCGTCGTCTTCGTCGGTGTCGTTGTCGTTGTGGTCGCTGTCGACCTCGAAGTCGTTGGAGACGTCGTCGGTGTCGTCGTCGTCGGTGTCGGCGGCGCCGTCGTCGTCGTCGCTGTCGTCGTCGGCGTCGGTGTCGTGGCCAAGTGCCATCTGGTACCCACCGTCACGGTCTTGACTTAAGAGGTCTTGCGACCAAGTTGCGGGTGGGAGGGTGGGATGTTTGCACGAGCAGTGGAGAGGACAGCTTCAAGTTGAGCAAGCGATTGTCTCCACCACATAGTATGCACCACATAGCCTGCACCACGCAGCCCGCGCTACAGAACCGGCACAGCCAGAGTACAAGACGTCACTGTTTGGGATTCACGCTGGCCAGCGTGATGAACTATGGCGGGCTCGGACACTCCGAGACAGCGGCTCGAGCGAATCGATGCGGAGGGATGCGTGGGTGCTGGACCCCCCCCCCGCGCCCCCCGCCCGCCAGGAGTGACGCCGCCCGCCTCGAACCTCATGAACCTGGGCCCGACCATGCTCGCGCGCAGCCACAGCCGCCTGGGCCCGCCTGCGCCCGCGTCCGGCACGATGCGCCTGGGGCCGCCCCTGCCGCCGCCCGACCGCCTACGCACGGGCAGCGCGACGCCGCCGAGGGGATCCAGCTGGCCAGGCGTCACCATGCCAGCATTCGGCATGACCCGTCCAGGGCCGCCCCTGCTGCCGCCTGACCCCGTCAGTTCGGGTCCCACGCCGCTTCCCCAGAGCTTGTGCCGTCTAGGCCCTACAGCGCCATCGTACGGGCTTGCGCGGTGTGGCCCACCGCCGCCCGCGCTGGACCCCGCGACGTCTGGCAGCGCGCCCTCTTTGCGGAGCTCTGCGCAGCTCGGTCCCACCGTGCTGCTCTACGGCATGTCGCGACTGGGCCCGCCTCTGCCAACACCTGATCCCATCACATTTGGCAGCGCCACCTCGCTCCGGAGCCACGTGCGGCCAGGACCGACCGCCCCGCCGTCTGGTCTGACCACCCCTGGCCCACCCACGCCAACCCCAGACCTCCTCCGCCTGGGCCCGCCGTCGCCGCCACGCAGCCTCATCCGTACGGACTCCCCAGCATCGGCATACGGCCTGGCACGCCCAGGGCCGACGTCTCCAGCCCCGGACCCCATTCACCCCGGCCCCCCATTGCCGCCGCGGTCTCCCATCCGGGCGGGGCCCGCGACGCCCGCGTCCGGCGCGGCGCGCCTGGGACCTGCCGTTTTGGCGCTGGACCCTGTCAACATCGCCTTGTTGCTGCCACCGCGGGCTCTTACGCGCCTCGGCCCCACACCGCCAGCGCCAGGATCGACGCGGCCTGGTTCTTCGCCGTCCCCGCCAGATACGGCCCACCCAGGGCTTCCCTTGCCACTGCGGACGCTCCTACGCGTGGGCGCTACGCCGCTGGCCTACGGCATCTCGCGAGCGGGCCCCTGTTTGCCCGCGCCCGACCTCGTGCACCCTGGCGCGTCGCCGCTGCTGCGGTCTTGGAGCCGCTTCGGTCCGTCGCCGCCAGTCTACGGCATGAGCCGGGCAGGACCGTCGCTGCCCGCGCTGGACTTCGTGTACCCTGGGCCTCCGCCTTCGGCCCGCAGCCCTGCTAGGTTCGGCCCGCCACCGCCAGCGTACGGCACGATGCGGCCTGGGCCTTTTCCGCCGCCCTCAGACCACGCGAACTCTGGTCCCTCTATGTCTCCGCGCAGCCACATGCGGCCTGGGCCGCCTCTGCCCGCATATGGCTACACGCAGCCAGGCAGCACGTGCCTGTCGGCGCTGGACCACGTGCACCCGGGTTCTTCGCCGCCTGCGCGGAGCCTCGCGCGCACGGGCCCGATGACGCCCACCTTTGGCATGTGCCGCCTCGGGCCTGCCTCGTCGGCGCTGGACCACATCACATATGGCAGCCCGCTGCCCCCCCGCAGCTCTTGCCGCACTGGCAGCTCACCGCCCGCCTCTGGCACCACCCGCCCAGGCCCGCCGCCGCCTGCGCTGGACCCCACCAGCCCAGGCAGCCCAGCGCCCCTGCGTGGCCACTGTCGCCCGGGCCCTGGGCCGCCCGCCTTCGGCATGACGCGACCTGACCCCTTGCCGTCCACCCTGGACTCCGTGGGCGCCGGCCCGCCGCCGCCCCTGCAGTCGTCCCTCCGCCCCGGACCGCCGCCTTCAGCCTCCGGCACCACGCGCCCCGGACCGGTGCCGCCCACAGCCGATTGCATGCACCTGGGCAGCGCTTCGCCGCCACGCAGCCCCCTGCGCTCTGGGCCAGCTCCGCCCGCCTACGGCATGTCACGGCTTGGACCTCCGATGCTGCTGCTGGACCCTTGCAGCTCTGGCCCGACGACGCCTCCGCGCAGCTGGACGCGCCCTGGCCCGACGCCGCCAGCGTTTGGCACCAGCAAGCTCGGCGCGTCCCCCCCTGCCCCAGATCTCGTGGGTCCTGGCCCGACGCCGCTGCCACGCAGTTCCCTCCAGCCAGGCCCTACACCGCCAGCGTCTGGACCGTCGCGCTGTGGCTTGCCACCGCCAGCGCCCGACCACCTGGACTGTGGCGCTCCGCTGCTGCCGCATGGCCTCATTCGCTTGGGCTCGCCGCCGTTAGCCTATGGCATGAGCCGGCCTGGGTCGCCGCCACCACTGCTGGACTCTATCCACCCTGGCCCGTCAGCGTCGACGCGGGGGCTCGTTCGCGCAGGGCCGACCCCTCCCGCGTTCGGGATGACTCGGCTTGATGCTTCTCTGCCCATGCCTGACCACCTGACTTTCGGCCCGCCGCTGTCGCCACGGTCATTCACGCGCCTGGGGCCTGCGCCGCCCGTGTCCGGCACGACGCGCCCAGGCTCGCTGTTGCCCCTGCCAGACTCCATCCATGCGGGGACCTCCTCGTCGCCGCGATCGCCCATCCGCACGGGGTCGACGACGCTAGCTTACGGTGTCGCGCGGCCAGGGCTGATGCTGCCTGTGCTGGACCATGTGCACCTAGGTCTGCCGCTGCTGCTGAGAGGCCTCTCGCGTACTGGCCCGCTCTCGCCGGCGTCTGGCTCAACGCGGCCGGGGCCCGCGATCCCAGCGCCAGATCCCGTGGACACAGGGAGCCCTCTGCCGCTGCGGACGCCCCTCCGCGCAGGTCCCTCGACTTCGGCCTACGGTGCCACGCGCCTCGGCCCCGGGCCGTCGGCGCTGGACCCCCTGCACGCAGGGCCTCCTATGCTGACGCGCGGCCTCATCCGCACCGGGCTGCCGCTGCCGCTGTACGGCATCGCGCGGACGGGCCCGCCGCCGCCGCTGCCGGACCCCCTGTCGGCGGGCTCGCCGCTGCTGGCGCGGTCGCCGTTCCGCCCCGGGCCCTCGCCGCCCGCGTACGGCCCGTCGAGGACGGGCCCCGCCCTGCCAGTGCCGGACCCCCTGAGCGCCGGCTCCCCCCCGCCCCCGCGGAGCTCCGCGCGCGCGGGCAGCGCGCCACCGGCGTCCGGCCGCCTCAAGCTGGGGCCCTCGCCTCCAGCGCTGGACCCCATCCACCCTGGGCTGCCGACGCTGCCGCGCAGCCACGTGCGTCGCCCGGGGCGCCGGAACAGCCCTGACATCCGCCGATCTTTGTCCTGAGCCCGCGGGTATTTTTTTCGCTCCGGGTCCATACTTGAAGATCCCGGAGCCTGGCAACGGGCTACAGAGCAGGGCTGGACCTAAACGCTGTTTTGCTGGACTTCGGCTGTGTTTTGTTTTTCGGATTGGCAGGGAGGCACAGGAAAACCAGGAGAGCAAAACGAACACAAAACGATACACAACGTTTAGGTCCAGCCCTGCCCCAGAGAGTCCAGATCGAGGAAGAACGCCCAGATGGAGGAAATCATATCCCCTGAGATCCGAGGGCGCGAGGACGTTGCAACACGTGCAGTATCACACCCCATCTTTCTGCGGCATTGTACGAGCCGGATCGATCTGTCAGGGTCGACCCGTACAGATCCATCTTTACAGGTCGATCCAGCTTCGGGGCCCAGGATCCCGAGCCCCGAAATTGGCCGAAAACGCCGCTCGGGGCGAACCAATTGCAACGCCAGGATCTCAGGGGAGGCCGAATTCGAGGAGCCAGAGATCCGATGTCTGGATTTTTTCAATGCGGGGTCCATGGAAGTCTCGACTCCTTCCCCAGGACCGGCTTTTCATCCTGAGCAGTTTGTCCCCAGAGTCCGAAAACGGCGAGCAAATCCGATTTGAGTTTTTCAAAACGTTGGATCTTTGGGGAAACACGTCCAGACTGAAACAAACTCACATCGTCGGAGATCAATTTTTTCGCGCCCTCGCGGGGCACGGTGCTCGCAGCGCGCCGCCACCTCCGCGCCCGCGCCCCGCGGCCTTGGAGAAGGGCAGCCCAGAAGGCACGCACGCGACGCACAGCAGGACTCCGACCACACGAGCCCAAGGATTCCGACGGGTCTCGTTCCGATTCCTCCGATTCGATCCGGTTTCGATGGATGCTGATTCCGATGCGATTCGACTTCGGATTCCAGTCTGGATTCCGATCTCTCAGTGGAGGCCTACCAGCCTGCCGATCTCCGCCGATTCGGCTGCTCCCGACCCGGCTGCCGATTTCCGCCGATCCGATGTCATTTCGATCGCCGATCCGACTTCTCGTTTCGATCCTTGGCTCTCCTGGGCCTCCGACCGCAAGAGTCCCAAGGGTTCCGAGGGAACTTCTGGGCGCGGGGAGCGCCGCTTGGCGCGGCCAGCGCGGCGGCCGAAGGGAGAGGTCGGCCAGGCGCGGGGGTAAGTAGGGGGAGGGGGCTAGGCTTCTCAGAGGCACCCCTGGAAGAAGGAGGAGGAGGAGGAGGTCCTGGGCTTCTCAGAAGGCGCGGGACGCTTGATATTTTTTCCAATGCGGGTTTCCTTCAAGTCTCGACCCCTTCCCCAGGACTGGCTCTTTTAATCCCGAGTCATTCTCTCGCGGTCCTCTGGGGCCCGGCGAGGGCCCCCAGTGGACGAGAACGGCGAACAAAAATCTCCACCCTGAAATGTTTCCATCCGTGGAGCGAAAAGCTGCGGGCACACTTCGAGTAGGGGATCGATCGACTACATAATTGATTTGATCAGCCCGAAACTAGGTTTGTCCGTCGAATCTACGTAGACAGCTCCGTGGATCTACGGAGCCTTCTACGTTTCGTGTGAAGATTCGACCGACACTTGGGGGCAATCAATTGTTGACGCTTCGCGAATCCCCACCAGCCCATCCAGAAACGATGCCCAGAGGAATTGCCTGAATCAGGGAAGTGGGCATCACACAGAGGAAGCCATTATGAGACGTCTTGGGATATCTGGAGCCATCTTGGAGGTCATCTTGGGCTCTCCCAGGCGCTCTTGGAGTCATCTTAATCAGTGCTCCCCCCAAGTGGCCAACATGTGGCTAAAACCTTAGTGAAATCAATGCTTTGGCATTCTCGCCGAGGCCTCTTGGAGCATCTTGTGTGCCTCTGGGGGGTCTCTTGGGGGCCTCTTGGGGGTCTCTTGGGGGCCTCCTGGGGGCCTCTTGGGGGCCTCGTGGGGCCATCTTGGGGCCATCTTGGGACCTCTTGGGGCCTCCTTGGCGCTTCTTGGGGCCATCTTGGAGGAGATCTATCAAAGAAACGCGGAGCATTAATTCGCCTCGCCCCCCCCCCCAAGAGGCCAAAATGGGGTCATAACCATAGTAGAACCAATGATTTTGGCTTCCTCGCCGAGGCCGTTTTGGCATTCTCTGACCGCGCAAGAAACCACCGCAACCGGAAGTTTTGTACGTCATTTAAATTATATGTTTTGTCGGTCGTTTCTGCGTTGCGGCTGTCGTTGACGAGTGTTGCGGGTTTGGACGCAACGCTCTCTCGAAAGGTTGCCGCCTGGCCACTTGCGGCGGTTTTCCCGCGGAGATTCCCTTCAATGTGCTTTCGCGAGGCTGAGTGCGGATCGCGCGCGGCGGGGCCCGTTTGCCACAATCCATGCGCGCGCTGATCAGGGGAGGTCGTGGTAGTAAAAATGTGGTTGCTGCGGCATTGTAGCAGTGTGGTTAAGGCGGCGCGTAACGCCGGTTTCGCTTGTTAGCTGCGCATGTCTTGCATGGACGGATTGCCCCCGCGCAGCGATGTTTCGCGCGGCGTGATTGCGCCGATTTTGGGCGACGATGCGCTCGTGCATGCGGGCAGAGCGCCTCCACGTGGCGAGGCCTCGTGTAGCGTCAAGCATGCCGCCAAGTTCGTTCCTTCTGGGCTATCGCCCCCCCCCCGCCTCCCTTCCCTTCTAGGCGGCGCGCCAAAACATAGGAACGTCGTTCTTTCTGTTTTGTTCAGCGCTTGCGCTTGCCACGTTCGTTTGGGCGGTGATCATTTGTGGTTCGCCTCTCGCCCGGCCTCTTCCATTTGCCCTACCCTTCCCTGTCATCGCATTGTTTGTTTTGAGTTTCTCATTGCGCGCATCTCAAAATGGAGAGCCCAGTCGTCTCGTGGAGAGCGCGACTTCGTTGACAAGTCATGCGCACTGCGGTTGCATGTGAAGAACCAGGCGCTCGCGTTATGCCGATTTGTTTGCAGCACGTCCCGCGCTCTGCGATTGCGCATGTTTCGGCGCGGTGAGTTCTAGAGTACCGCCGAGAAAACCGTACTACGCGACAGATCGCCGCCCATGCCCGTGCAATGGCCGCAACATGTGACACGCTGATCCACGTCGTTTCGGGACGCACTCCTTCGTTTTCGTCGTCGTCCCCCCACTCTTCCGCCCCACCGTCGTGAGTCCCCTTATGTTTCTGCCTCATTATGCGTCCGTTGTTCTTGCCTCTCTTGGGTCTCTCACGGGTTACTCTCAGGCCGCATTGGGCTTGTCACGGGGTCCTGTTGGGTTGTCTCGGGGGCCTTTGGGGGCACTCTTGGGCCGTTCTTTGGCTCAGTGGAACACTTCGGGGCCATCGTGGGCCGTCGTGAGCTCCCCTGGGTGTCAGCTGGTGCCGTCTGGGGTTCTGCCCGCCTCCATGGCGGTTTCTTGGGCTTGCTTGCGAATTAGCGGATGCAGTGCAGGTGCGGCGGTGACGGCATCAGAGTCGCGTTCAGGTCTCGGCTGAACAGCTGCGTCGCGTTTCCAAGTGGGGTGGCTAGTTGAGGGCCTCCGACGGCCACTCTGGGGAGTTTGAATTTTGGGTCCCCCCGCTCCAAGAAAACATGGTGGACGTAAGGAACCTTCGGGTTCCTTAATAAATCTCCCTCTGGGGGCCTCGATGGTCCCAAAGCACGAGACATCTGTCGATCCACGAAATTTAATAAGGAGTTCCCCCGGTACCAAATAAGGTCCTTATTTGGGTGCCCGGCGGTCCCACAATTCAGGGCCTTAGTTTGGTTCTCGGCGGTCGCAGGTCCCACAGGATTCAAAGATCTGACAGGTCCTACAGGTCCCACAGTTCCCACATGGCCCACAGGTTTCGCAGATCTCGCAGGTCGCGCAGGTCTTGCACTCCCCGCAGGTCCCACATGTCCCACAGGTCTCGCACGTCTGTCAGGCCTTGCAGGTCCCACTAGTCCCACAATTCTCATAAGTCCCACAGGTCCCACAACTCCCCCAAGGCCCACAGCTGTCGCAAGTCTCACAAGTCCCGCATGTCCCGCGTATCCCACATACCCCACAGGTCCCGCAGGTCCAACAAATCTTGCAGGCGCCGCAGGCCTCGCAAATCTGTAAGGTCTCGCAGGCCCCACACGTCGCATTGGTCCAACAAATCCCATCGTTCTCACATGTCCCATGAATCCTAGAGGTCCCACAGGTTCCACATGTCCCACCGCTCCCACAACGCCCTCAGGTCCCACAGGCCCCGCAGGTCACGCAGGTCTCGTTGATCCTGCAGGCCCGTCAGGTCTCACAGGACCCACATGCCCGACAGGTCCCACAGTTCCAAGAAGTCTCGCAGGCCGCGCAAGTCCCACAGGCCCCACTGATCCCACAGAACACACATGTCCCACACGCCCCCCAAGGTCTTACATTTCCCACAGGCACAGCGGGTCCCACAGGTCCCCCTGGACCCACAGGTCCCCCTGGACCCACAGGTCCAGCAGGTCTCACAGGTCTCACAGGTCCCACAGGTTCTCACGGGCCACACAGGTCCCACGGGTCTCACAGGTCCGACGGGTCCCACCAGTCCCACAAGTCCCACGGGTCTCGCAAGTCTTACAGGCCGCACAGGTCCCACAGGTCCCACAGGCCCCACAGGCCCCACAGGTCTCACAGGTTTCTCATGTCCCACAGGCCCCACAGGTTCCGCATTTCCCACTGACCCCAGAAATCCCTCCCGCAGATCCCACAAGTCGAGGTCCCACAGGTCCCACAGCTCCAGCAGGGCTCGTTTGTCCCGGAGGTCCGACAAGTCCCAGAGGTCCTACAGGCCCCGGAGGGTTCGCGGATCTCGTAAGTTCCGCAAGTCCCGCAGGTCCCACAGGTCCCGCATGTCCCGCATGTCCCGCATGTCCCACAGGCTTCACAGCTCCATCTGGTCTTGCAGGCCTCGATCGTCCCACATGTCCTGCAGATTCCACAGGTCTCTCATGACACCTTTTGCTGCTTTCAGAGTGCACTGCCAGGGTAAGTTTTGAAGTACTGGCGCACGTAATTGCTTGAGATGCGCGCAGCGCCGAAAGGGACATGAGCGCAAGTGGGAAACGCTGCCCCACAAATGCGGAATTCCGCCCGTCCTGGATGTTTTATGTGAACTTGCGGAGGCGGTGGTTTCCATCGTGGTCATTCTCGCCGAGGCCTCTTGGAGCATCTAGTGTGCCTCTGGGGGGTCTCTTGGGGGCCTCTTGGGGGTCTCTTGGGGGCCTCCTGGGGGCCTCTTGGGGGCCTCGTGGGGCCATCTTGGGGCCATCTTGGAACCTCTTGGGGCCTCCTTGGCGCTTCTTGGGGCCATCTTGGAGGAGATCTGTCAAAGAAACGCGGAGCATTAATTCGCCTCGCCCCCCCAGGAGGCCCAAATGGGGCCAAAACCGGAGTAACACTAATGATTTTGGCTTCCTCGCCGAGGCCGTTTTGGCATTCGCGCCGAGGCCTCTTAGAGCATCTTGTGTGCCTCTGGGGGGTCTCTTGGGGCCTCTTGGGTGTTTCTTGGGGGCCTCCTGGGGGCCTCTTGGGGCCTCTTGGGGCCATCCTGGGACGTCTTGGGACCTCCTTTGCGCTTCTTCGGGCCATCTTGGAGGAGATCTATCAAAGAAGTGCGGAGCATTAATTCGCCTCGCCCCCCCAGGAGGCCAAAATGGGGCCAAACCGTAGTAAAGCCAATGATTTTGGCTTCCTCGCCGAGGCCGTTTTGGCATTTTCGCCGAGGCCTCTTGGAGCATCTTGGGTGCCTCTGGGGGTCTCTTGGGGCCTCTTGGGGTCTGTTGGGGGCCTCCTGGGGGCCTCTTGGGGCCTCTTGGGGCCATCTTGGGGCCATCCTGGGACGTCTTGGGACCTCCTTTGCGCTTCTTCGGGCCATCTTGGAGGAGATCTATCAAAGAAGTGCGGAGCATTAATTCGCCTCGCCCCCCCAGGAGGCCAAAATGGCGCCAAGACCATAGTAAAACCAATGAGTTTGGCTTCCTCGCCGAGGCCGTTTTGGCATTCTCGCAGAGGCCTCTTGGAGCATCTTGGGTGCCTCTGGGGGGTCTCTTGGGGCCTCTTGGGGGTCTCTTGGGGGCCTCCTGGGGGCCTCTTCGGGGCCTCTTGGGGCCATCTTGGGGCCATCTTGGGACGTCTTGGGGCCTCCTGGGCGCTTCTTGGGGCCATATTGGAGGAGATCTATCAAAGAAGCGCGGAACATTAATTAGCCTCGCCCCCCCGGAGGCCAACATGGGGCCAAACCCCTAGTAAAATCATTGATTTTGGCTTCCTCGCCGAGGCCGTTTTGGACGCTCTGACACCTCGCGCCCCCCCCTCCAGGTCCATGGGGAGGGGGTAGGGGGAGGGGTATCCCCCCCCCCGAAGGGGAAGAAGGAGGGGTGGAAGAGGAAACGCCCTAAACCACCGTCGCCCAGAGGGCGGGTGGGATTCTTTCGTCAATCCCTAGTCTCGAAGAAGAACAAACGTCATAAACATAAACTTTTGGCGCTTCGCGCGGATTTCTTGGATCCGTGCTTGGGCCTCCCTGGCAGCGCCTTTGGCGCCGCCCCTGGCGCGCTCCGCGCGCCAGGGAGGGGGGTCCAGCGCGGATCCAAGAATTCCATGCGGAGCGCCAAAAGTTTCTGTTTATGGCGCCTTGTCTTTTTCGAGAATAGGGGTCGACTGCACGGTTGATTGATTGCCCCCAAGTGTCGGTCGGCTCTTCACACGAAACGTAGAAGGACCGTAGATCCACGGAGCTGTCTACGTAGATTCGACGGCCAAGCCTAGTTTCGCACTTCTGGCAGCCCCCGACCTGGTGTGTGCCGCCACGAGAGGGGTGGCACCCGCCCGTCGGGGGCCTGCGGGAGCCGAGGGCAGGGGCTGCCCGCTTGGCGCCCCCGGGCGCCCTCCCCCGCCGCGTCCGTCGGGGGCCATCGAGAGTAAAAGACCCCCCCCCCAGACCCCCTCGCGTCGTGAAAAAATCGCGCGGGGAGGTTCTTCGCAATTTTCGGCCTCTGGAGTCCCTCTCTGGGCCTCGGGGCCGACAAAAACGACTCAGGACGAGAAACCGGTCCCTGGGAATGGGTCAAGACGTCTAGGGGTCGACGTTGCAAAAAAATCATGACGTCGGGTGTCTGGGCCTGACCCTAACCCTGAGATCCTGGCGTCCAATTTTTTCGAGCTGGTCGTTTTCGCCCTTTTAGGGCCCTGGGACCCTCGCAGACCGATCCCGCTTGAAAAATGATGCAGAGAGACGGTGTCTATGGCCCCTGGCGTGATTTTTTACGCTGCTGCAGTTTTTGTCGCTACGTCGGATCTCAGGGAATAACGCGATGCAGACGTGGCCTCACTTAGGTCCCTGTCTTCGCATTAGGGATGATAGTTCTGGGCGGTTTGGTCTGAAACGTCTGCAGAGAAGGCCCCCTATCCCGAGTAAGCAATTAAGAGCCCCCCCACCTCCATCGAACGTACTACGCATTCGGCACCCTGGAAGCGTTACCCTGGCACCTCGCAACCTGCTTTTAACGCAGACGAGTCTGCCCACCGAAACAAGCAAACCGCCTGAGACATTCTCGCAAATCTGGTCTCCGTGTGGTTCTGAAACAAGCGCCTCACCTGAGACATCCTCATAGCAACAACACCAATAGCAACAGCAATACTAATGATACCAAGAAGCAGCAAAAACAATGATACCACTAACAACAGCACCAAGAGCAACAGCACCACCACCACCAACAACATCAACATCAACAACACCAACAACACCGCCAACACCAACACTAGCAGCATCAACTATAAGTACCACTCAAGGGAGGCTTTGAAAAGGAACCGCCCGTCTACGAGGGGGGGGCGAATAATTTTGGCGGTGCGGATGCTAAGATAACGCTCCGTGCGGGACGGGGGCAATATCTTCGGATGCACTACCCCACACGACGGCCGGGCAAACTCAAGAGCTCAATCAGAACGGTAATACTAATCGTATCTGACAAAGACGATGAAGAGAATGAGCAAAAAAAGGCGGAGGACTGAGTGTGTCGTTCGTGAGACCCTCCGTGAGACCCCTCAGCGAGACTCCTCAGGATTCGTTATCGCTCTTCTACATCTTGTTTTCTTTTGGTGCTCGAGTTTGCGTTCCATCTCAGAATTCCTGTGGGAGGCGATTATTATGTTCTGTACGGGCGTGGTGCTAAGATAACGCTCGGTGTGGAGCGGGGGCGGTATCCTCGGATGCTCTACCCCACACGACGGTCAGGAAACACCACTATCTCAATAGGGGTGGCAATAGGAATCGTATAGGACAAGGGCGATGAGGATAATGAGGAAAAAGGGTGTGTAGTATTATCATGTTTTGTTATATTAATATTCATAGTCTTACTCGCATTATCATTATTATTTTGTCTTATTCGTATTATTATTATTGTTATTATTGTTATTAGTGTTATTATTGTTATTATTGTTATTATTGTTATTATTGTTATTATTGTTATTATTGTTATTAGTATGATTATTATTAGTATTATACTACTAGTAATAATACTTATTATTATTATTATTATTATTATCATTATTATTATTATTTATTATTATTATTACTTCTTATTTGCATTATCATTATCATTATTAGTCTTATTTTTCGTTTGCGTTTCCTTCTTGTTTTCTTATTGCAGTGTTCCACACGAGTTTGTATAGCACCCTCCTGTAAGCCGTCCACCGTATGTGGCTACCTCTGCTCAAGCCTTTTTCGTGTTCGAGCCCCCTTCGGCGCGTCGCGAACGCATCAGGTGCTGGTGCATGGTTGTGGCGCAGGTCGCGCAGGCTGCCATCATCGGGGCGGCCAACCTCTGCGGTGCTTGGCTGGGCCGCTGCCCCGCCTGCCCGCCTCAGCCAGGCTGCCCTGCGCCGCTGCTCAGCTGCCCGCCAGTGACCCTCACTTGCCCAGCGCCGCCGGCGCTGAGCTGCCCGCAGGTCACCTGCGCGGCGCCCTCGTGCCCGGCGTGCGAGGCGCCGAACCGCGAGGAAGTGGCGCCCTGCCCCACGCTGGCCCGCGAGGAGGCGGGCTCGACCGGCAGCGCCGAGGGCGCCTGCCTGCCGTACTGGGCCGCGGGGCTCGTGGCGGTGATCTGCTGGAGCTGCGGGGCGTGCTCCGCGGTGTGCGTGACTCAGGCCTGCCCCCGACGTGCTCAACATGCTGGCCGTGGCGTCATCGTCCGACCTGGTGCCGGGGGACGTGATCCTAGTCCGGTACGCCGAGGACGATCTTTGGCATGAGCGTGTCTTGTGCTGGCCAGTACCCATGGACAAGTCAGGAGTGGTGGACTGGGTGGTGGCAACACCCGATGGCGACATGTATATTGAGACCATCGAGGGAGGCAATCCAGAGGAGAGCCTGGTGGAGTGGATCCGCCCGGCTGCTGATGGGCGCCTTCCGGCCGCCTTCCAGGACCCCGTGTACGCGTTGCCACGAGCGGGCGTCGTGGACGACTTCATCGCGAAGTGCGTGAAGAAGGGCACCACCCTGGCGCTGGAGGACTCGAAGGAGCACGACGAGACCCCTATTTCCTGCTCCGTCGTGCGGCTGGCGAACGGGCGACGGGTTGCGATCGAAGATTTGGTATGGGCTGGCCACATGCTCTTTGGTTCTGTCAAACCCTACATCGGCGTATCATCCAGGACATTCCGGGCCTCGAGGAGGCCTCTGCACGACCGAGGGCCAGCGCCTGCGACCACCCCTGCTTGCTACACCGTCTATGTCGATAACTTTGGCGCTGGGCACGTGTCGTTCGACAGTCGGGCGACTCGTGGGACAGGTCGATGAAACTTTGCAGTCCCGGGGCTTACCGACGCATGAGGTCGCCACCAGCTCTCTGGAGGAGGAAGTCCTTGGGTGGGAGATCAATGGGAGGCTCGGCTTCATTCGACCTCGGCCGGAGCGTGCTTGGCGCATACGTTTGGCCCTCGACGGCTTGCTAGAGACCAGGAAGGTGTCCGCCCGGGACATAGAGAAAGTTGTGGGCCACTGCACCTTCCTCGCTCTCCTCTGTCGCACGTCGCTCTCTCTATCTTCCGGTCAGTCTACACCTTCATCGCTCGCCGTCGCGATCACGGAGCCGTTGTACTCTGGGAGTCTGTCCATTGGGAGCTCGAGGCCTTCAGACATTTTATACCTCTGATTCGTCGTGATTTCGGGGCTTCATGGGGTTCGAAGGTCACGGCATCGGATGCATCGTTCAGGGGCTACGGCGTCGTCTCTCGAAGTCTTTTCCGTGAACAGGTTCAACAGCTAGGACGTGTAAGTGAACGATGGAGATTCTCGGGCAGGGCTCAGACTAGATCTCGTGAAGGGGTTCTGGGGCCTGACGGGGATAACGACGTCGTCGACTGGGTGAAGGAGGTGGAGGAGGACAAGCAGGAGAGGGAGGTTACCCGCTCGGATCTGCCGCAGGTCTTGAAGGAACGGGGGTGGGCGGTTCTCATGAGCAAGAAGTGGTCGATTCCCAATGCCAACATTGTCCATGGAGAGGCTCGGGGCCTCACAGCTGCTGTCAAACACGTGTGCCGCTCCATGAAGAATTTCGGTTGTCGTCGCCTGCTCATGCTTGACTCCCTCACTTGTGTGCTGGCTCTGTGCAAAGGACGGTCCTGGGCCGTCGGGGTGTGCGCAACCCTCCGGTCCGTGGCCGCCCATGGCCTTGCCGCGGGCGCGGTCTTCGCGGGCCGCTGGTTTCCCAGCGAGTGGAACCGCGCCGACGGTCCGTCGCGGGGGCCGCGCCATTCTGGCAAGGGAGGGGGAGACGCCGCTGCTGAGGAGGTCGCGCCCAGCCGTGGCCGACGAGCAGGGCGCCAAACCAGAACGTTGGCTTCAAGTTCTGGTTGGCCCGGTGCTCCGCAGGCGGCGGCCGAGGACACCCTCCCCGCCGCGCGCGCCCTCGCGGGATCCGCGGGGCGCGGCGCAGGCCGGGCGCGGGGTCTCGCGGGATCCGCGGGGCCCCGCGAGGGATGCCCCGCTGTTCCGCAGTGCGGCGAGGCAGCTGAAGGCGGCGCGGCGAGCGCAGCGGCTGCCGATCCTGGCGCGGGAGCGCTATCTGCAGAAGAGGTCTGTGCGGACCGAGGCGGTGCGCCGGCGCTACTCGGAGTTCCTCGAGGAGCTGGGCCAGTGGCTGGAGGTCAACGGTCTGCTGCCCAGGCCGTGCCCGAGCGGCCGCCCGGCTGCTGGGGCAGTGGGCCGCTTCGACCACGACGTGAGCGACTGGATGAACGAGCAGTACATGGAGGGCTTCGGCCACTGGCGCGGGGCGAACGTGCTGGCGGCCATGGCCTCGGCGGACTCTCGCCTTGGCCGAGCGGGGAGCCGCGGGCTCCCCCAGTCGCGGCAGGCGCTGAGAGACTGACGCAACTTGGCGCCGGCAGCCAGCCGCCTGTCACTCTCAGCCGAGGTTGTGTTTGCCATTGCGATGGAGCTGCTGGCCATGGGTCGCTGGGACATGGCGATGTGCGCGATGCTCTCCCTCGTGTTCCTCATGGGGCCCGGCGATTGGAGGACCGTCCGAGTGGGGCACCTGGCGCCGCCCTCCGTGGGAGGCAGCCGCGGGCTCGCCCGCTGGAGCCTAGTGCTCCACCCGCTGGAGGGCGAGACGAGCCTGCCCAGCAAAACGGGGGAGTTCGACGAGTCGCTCTTGCTGGACCTGGACGAAGACCAGTGGCTGGGACCCCTCTGCCAGCGGCTCATCCAAGTCCGCGATCCTCAGGAGCCCCTGTTCGCGTTTAGCCAGGCCGAATTCGCCCGCTGCTTCAAGGGGGCCGGCGCCCTCCAGATGCTGCAGCGGCCCCCGCCGCCGCGCATTCTGCGGCACTCGGGCGCGAGGCGCGACTTCGCCGAGCAGAGGCGGGCGCTCGTCTGTGTCATGCGCCGAGGGCGATGGCGGACGGACGCGAGCGCAAGGCGGTGCGAGAAGGGGGGCCGGCTGGGCAGCGAGTTCGCCAAGCTGCCCGTGCGCCTCCAGGCCCGCGCGCAGTGGTGCCTCAAGTGCCTCCCCGCGGCGCTCTCCGGGTCGCTGCCGCCTCGCGCGCGCCGCGCCCTCTGAGGCTGCGGGTGTTTCTGGAGGTCTTTGCTGGCGCAGCTCGGCTTGGTCGAGCCATGGCGGTGCAGGGCTTCCACGTGCTGGCATGGGATGTGAAGTATGGCGAGCAGTATGATCTCACGAGCCCCTCTAAGCGGTCCATGATACGCGGATGGATTTTGGGACGTGCGGTTTTGGCGGTGCACTTTGGCGTTCCCTGCGCGTCGTGGTCTCGGGCTCGTGACATCCCTCCAGGTCCTCCGCCGTTGAGGTCCAGCGATCGCGCGATGGGTCTCGACGGCCTTGCTGCCAAGGGCCAAGCCAAAGTCGACCTCGGAAATTGCCTCATGTCCTTCACTGTCTCTTGCCTTCACGTTTGCCGGAGAATGAGGATATCAGGCGCGATGGATAACCCCGCCGCGAGTAGGATCTGGCTAGCGCCTGCCGTCGTCTCATTCTCCCGCAATCCTGCCTCGCAAACCGTCTCGACCGATTTTTGTCCATTCGGCGCGCCCGGCGTCCTGATCGATTTATCTTCGATCGAGAAGCTGTGTAAGAGGAAGAACAATCTGTGCTCGGCCTCTCATAGGCCGCACCAAAACCTCCAGGGTAAAAACTCGGAGGGCCGTTTCTGGACAGAGGTGGCGGAGCCATACCCCCTTTGGCTGTGTCGGGCGTTAGCTTTCGCCTTTTCCGAAGCTCTCGTCGCGCTCAAGGCGCAAGGTATGGCCCGCCATCTCTGGTAGTTGTTAGCAAATGAATTTTCCTACGGCCCTCTGGGCCAGTGGACAAGTAAAGTTGGCTCTCCTTTTCTGTCAGTGCGGATCTGGTGGCTGGCGCCTGTCTCATATATGAATGTCGGTGCTTGCCTGCTCACCAGTCCTGGCGGAAGTTGAGCCTCTCTGATAAAGATGTCCCTGGTCTCTGAGGGGTGGGATACATTGCAGTGTTCTACACGAGTTTGTATAGCACCCTCCTGTAAGCCGTCCACTGTGTGTGGCTACCTCTGCTCAAGCCTCCCTCCCGCGTGCCACCCTGCTCTCTCAGTGCTGTTCCCAAATGATATGGTGGCTGGCGCTTGTCTCATATATGAATGTCGGCGCTGGCCTGCTCACCGGTCCTGGCGGAAGTTGAGCCTCTCTGATAGAAATGTCCCTGGTCTCTGAGGGGTGGGATACAATCTTATAATTATTCGCATTCTTCTTATTACTATTCTTGTTCCACTTCCAAGTGGGATACCACGCGAGGAGTCATTTATTCCATAGTTTCGCTCACTCCGCCGGCCCATCTTGCATGATCGCTACTGCTTCGCCGTGGGCTCGGGGCCATTGTGGCGCCGCCGAGGAGGAGGAATATGAGGATGGGGAATGGGAGGGGAGGAGGAGAGGATGAGAAGGAGAGGAGGAAAATGAAGGTAAGGAGGAACAGGAGGAGGAGGAGGAGGAGGAGGAGGAGGAGGAGGAGGAGGAGGAGGAGGAGGAGGAGGAGGAGGAGGAGGAGGAGGAGGAGGAGGAGGAGGAGGAGGAGGAGGATGCAGAGGAGGGGGCGGAGGAGGAAACATCTCCTTGGCATCTTGTGTTGCTCTTGGTTGGTGCCAAACAGGGTCGTCGTCAAGATGCTTCTTTGTGAGGCCTCTTGGGGTCTTTTGAGAAGCCGTTCGGGGGCGCCTGGGAGGCATTTTTGAAGCCTTCTGGGACCACCTGGGGCCTCTTGGGGGCCTCTTGGCGGCATCCTGGGGCCTCTTGGGGGCCTCTTGGCGGCATCTTGGGGCTTCTTGGGGGCCTCTCGGGGCCTCCTGGGGTCCTCTTGGGGCGGAAGGCTTGAGTTTTCGGTTCGTGGTCCCCCTCTTGGGCCCCTCTTGGGGCCGTCTTGGGGCTCTCTAGGGCCATCTTGGGCGCCTCTTGGGCCGTCTCGGGGCCCTCGTGGGACCTTCTTGGAAGCCTCTTGGCCCGTCTTGGGGCGCTCTTGGGGGCCTCTTGGGCCGTCTTGGAGCATCGGAAAGCCGAAAGAGCGACAAGGCCGAAATCCTTCCAAAACCATAGTGCAATTGATGATTTTGGCCTCTCGGGGCCCTCTTGTAAGGCCTCTTGGAGGCCACTTGGAGGCCTCTTGGGCCGTCTTGTGGTCATCTTCGGCGTCTTGGAGCGCTCTTTGGGCGTCGCGGGGGCCTCTTGGGCAGTCCTGGGGGCCTCTTGGGGCCCTCTTGGCGCGCTCTGGGGGGCCTCAGAGGCCGCGCCCAGGAGGAAAACCATCTCTGAGTAGCAGTTGCCGGGCTGCGGTCGGGCGGCGGTCGGGGTACTTTTCGCCGGGGGACCCCCAGGTGCCGCCCCGCGCGCGCGAACCAGAAATATTGTTAACCAGTTACCGGAGATCTTTGCACGCCTCTGTCCCGTTGGGCTGGCGAATTTTCCTTCCATTTGCGCGGTGCTAATTGTATCGTTCGGCGCCCCCCCCAATAATTATTTAATTACGGTGCGGTGCTCAGAAAGAGCGTGTTCTACCGGTGCTGGCGGAAAACCGGGGGGGGTCACTACCGGTTCGAACCCCTCCCCCCCCATCCCCTCCGGAAAACCGGGGGGAGTCACTACCGGTTCGAACCCCTCCCCCCCCCCCGGTTCATCATGAAAAGGGGGGGGTCACTACCGGTTCGAACCCCCCCCCTCGAACTCGAAAACCGGGGGGGGTCGCTACTGGTTCGAACCCCCCCCCCCACTCGAAAACTGGAGGAGAGTCTCCTCTCTGGCTTCAGTCCAGGACACCCGGGACACTTGGGACACCCGGAGCACCCGGGACACCCGGCACCCCCGGGACACCCGGGACACCCGGGACACCCAGAGCACCCGGGACACCCGGGACACCCGGGAAACCCGAGACATTTGGGACACCCAGAGCTCCAGGAGCTGAGCATCCGGGACACCCGGGACACCCGGAACACCCGGAACACCCGGGACATCCGGAACGCCCAGAGTACCCAGAGCACCCGGAGCACTGGGGACACCAGGAATACCCCGAGCCACAGCACGCGCGGAGCCAGAGCGCGGAGCCACAACATT